TGGCAAGCTCAAGGTCCTGAGTTTGATCCCTGGTACCAATGAAACAAAACAAACAACAACAAAAAACCCCAAGATAATAGTAAATCCAAAATGGCTAGCATAATAAATGTTGTTAGCTTAGAAATAGCTACCTATGCCATCAGATGTAATAAAATCAAACAAGACAAAACGGAGTAAAACTAAACCAAACCAAACAAAACAAATGCAGCACTTTAAAAGAAGATAATAGGAAATTAACAATGGCTACCACCTTCAGAAAGAATCTACCATAGATGATACACTGTGTATTGTTACCCTCTAAATAGAATGGTCACACTACCAGCTTTAGTCCTACACAGTCAGAGAAACACTAAACACTACAAGCATTAAGTTGTATTTTACTTCCAAAGCTATCATCTCAGCTTGTGTCTCTCTGGATCAACCTTAATGGAGAGGGGGTGGCCCTTGGTCTTATTTCCCAGCCCATGCGCCAAAAGGCTCTGGCGTCTGGTTCTCTTCTCGCCCGTGCATGGTGCCGACTCACAGAAAGGGGCTGGCTTGATTGCCTGGCACTTAACAACGTTTGCTATTCTTATGTTCAGTTTTTAATTTTCTTTAAAAATTCCCCTAGCGACTTTCCCAGTACTAGGCAGGTGGCAGGCAGTGCCTGTGGCACAGCAGTCAGAGGGCAGCTGTCACTTCAAGGAACATCCTCAACACATTCAGGCAGCTGTTAGGGATTAGGGTTGTCCCTCTCCTGGGAGAAACCACAGTTATCACTCATCTACTCTGGGCAGTAGGAGCTGCTCCTCCTGCCCCAAGGCTTCTGCAGGTTGCAATTTAGAAAAAAGAAAGAAAGAAAGAAAAAAGAATCTAGACAAGGAATGAAGAATGTATGGGAAAATTTACTGAAAAACTATAAGTATGGGTAAGGCTCATAATAAGTAATACATATAAAACCCTTAATAAATCAACCAAACCCCAGTTCTCCAGTCTCTACTCCTTAGATCAGCATCTAAGCAATTTAGTGTGGACTCTACTGCCCTCTTCTGGACAGAATGGAAATAGACCCATATTCAAGTTTTGCAGATGGGTCATAAAGACTGGAAATCTCAGACCAGTTTCCCCAGAGTTCAGACAGAATCCAGCAGGTGGCTCAGAGGAATGAGAAGCAAGGTGGGACCAGCTGCAGGTGACACAGAGTATTTCTTAAATATGCAGAAGGGTACCTGCAGCCCATTCAAACTTTGTTAATATTTCACTGGGGGAAAAAGAAACTATGTTAAATACTGTTCATGAGCAGAGACCACGGGCTCAGTGAGTGGCTTCAGGAAGAAAGAGCTCAGACTCTGGAGATCAAGGGTGTTGCTGGATGGACAGGCAACCATGCAAGGCGCAGCTTCTCCATCTGTAAACTGGGGCCAGAACCCCTTCCCCGGTGTGATAGCATGAGGTGTCCTTGTTTTAGGCTTCACTTCAAGAAAGGTAATTGAGAAATCAAATCCTGATGAGAAAAAATATATATATAATTCTGATGAGAAAAGTGAAGATCTAATAAACAAAGGAATACTTAAAATTTGTCAAAAACAGGTTAAGATGAACTTCTAGGATTGGCGGTCCCTTACCTCTGGGCTTGGTGGAGGAATGCAGGGAGGGCTGCACATTTCCATCCAAGTATCTATGGCACATGGACTTAACACTCACACACCTCTCCACCTTGTTACACTCAATTTCTGAGCGCAAGTGGAGGGGAAGAGAAAGAGCCAGAAGGAGAAAGGACAAGAAAGGAAAACACCTTGAAAACCAAGGTAGGTTGGGCTCTCAGAAGCTGGTAAGGACGTGGATTGCCGCATTTTTTACCCTACCCCACTGTACCCGTTCCCTTTCCTGGGGCTTCCTGCACCTCCACATGGGTCATAGGTGGAGATGCACACAGGGAGAGTGAAGGTGGGCAAACCTGGCTCGGACCAGGCCAGGGAAAACAGAGAAAGGACCAGGGAGAGGGGAAATTCCACAAGGAGACCAAGCAAGCAGGCCCAGCAACAGAGTGCTGTAGACCAAGCAAGCAGGCCCAGCAACAGAGTGCTGTAGAAAACTCAGACACCGCCCTGATTCAGCCAGTAAGCAGTGTGCTGTTGTGATCAGAAGAATGCAAATCCTTACCAGAGATTTATCAAGTTGGGTAGAACCACGTTTGGGGATTGGCTAGTGGAAACACTCCAGCCCCATCTACCTTTAAAGGAAGGCAGGAAATTAAGTCAGAATCTAGCAGATCAAGAAAGTGCTGAGTGTGGCAGGGCAGGCCTGTGATCCTAGCACTTGGGAGGCTGAGGCAGGAGGATCACCTTGAGTTCAAAGCCAGCCTGTACTACATAGTGAACTACATAGCACCACCCTGAACTACATAGCATGACACTTTCTAAAACAAAACAGAAACAAACGAAGAAAGAAGGTGCTGGGTAGATTTTTCACATGTTAAGCTACATCAACCATAATAAATAATAAAACAGATAAAATATGACGGTAAAGATAGCTCTTCAGAGAGCTAGTGCAGTCTGCCTGGAGCATTCATCATTGTCTGCTTGGGCTCTTGCTGGAATACGGGTTCCACAGTGAGACAAGAGTGGGGGTGATATTTTCAAACACCCATGCCACTGTCTGGCCCAGTGGGAGAATCCCTTGAAAGCAGTCAGAGGTGGGGACTGGGCCCCTCTGAATGGTGTCTGCTGTGTTGGTCCTCTCGCCAGGAGACTTGTCCTACCCTCCCACACCCATGCACGAATCCCGCCTTGCCACCCACGGCCATCACAGCTGTCTTCTCTGGTTTGTCTCCACCTCCTCAGTCACTGCCTGGACACACAGTGCTGTGGCTTCCAGCCCGAGTGTGAGAGCAGTACCCTCTGTACTTGGGGAAGAGAGTGTCTTCCAGTTGGTTTCCAGCACTTGAAGAACATGCATCATTTTCCTGGCTTCATAAAACTCCAGTCTTCTTTGCTCTATGGCAACTGGTAGTTCAGAGCCCATCACATGTGAATGAGTTCCTGCCTTTCGTGAGGGGATACCACCCACTGTCCTGCAGCGCAGGCCATCGTCACTTTATGCTGCCCTTAGAGAAAAGTCCTTGGGATTCATGCTTGCTGGATTGGCACTGTCATTTTTAGAAGAACTCCATGTGACCTGTGAGTATGGGAAGTTTATCACAGTCACTTCTTTGGGTCTCCCATTAGGCCATTAATAAAGACTAATCTTCTGTGGTTGTGGGGTTTCTTTTTTATACTCTGCCATGCATGGGCTACATTTTTTTATTTTACTTATTTTATTTTTTTACTTATTTATTTTACTTATTTTACTTCTGATCTACAGTTTGAAGCATGATGCCCTCCCTCACTTACTCTGTAGTATGTGGGACTGATTCGTCCAAAAGTATTTTTAAATTCTTCACTACATCGATTACTTTTTTCTTTTCCATATCTTTGTTTGTTTCCATATCTTTGTTTGTGACTCAGTGTTAACTGACAAGTCAGAAATGAGTTCCTGTTAAAAATTTCTTCCTATATTTTTTAATGTTAGCAATTTCTAATACATGGACCATGGGACCACTCCCAACACCACCACCTCCAGCTTTGTGCAAGGGCCCCATGGTCACCCACTCATCCCGTACTGTTAGTTAGAGCTTATACACTTGGACAATTTTCCAGTTTTACCTTTGGGGTCCTTCGCAATCCAAGACACATGTCATCTTGACTAAACGACAGTGTAAGGGCTTTTCATTTTGCAAATCTAGGGATTGTCATTAATGTTCAACCCCTAAAAACATTAGCCATCAGTCAGGGCCTTTTGGTCTAAGGGATAAAGATTCATCAAAGAGATTCAGCCTGAATGTGCCCTGAATGTGACAATAAAGATAGCTCTTCAGAGAGCCAGCACAGTCTGGGGAGTCACGGTTTGCTACAAATTCTTTAAATTCCTGCAGAGCAAGGACACCCCTGTATGATAAGCATCTCTGGGTCTCCCCATCCTGCATCCACCTCCATCTCGGCCATTATTCCAACTCACACCCGGTGTGACCACACTGCCTCATCCTTGAATGTGCAATGCACACCAAACTGCAGTATTGCTTCTCACTTTACAGTGTGTATCTGCTTTGCCAAAATAGATGGGAAGCTACCTAGGGTGCGTGCCGGGTCTATCTCTTCAAAAGCACAACACCCAAGAACTATTTTTAAATCGTGTTTTAAACTATGGTGTTTGCCCCACACTCTGTTTTGCTACAGAAAAATATCTGGTTTCCGTGTCTGCATTAGGTAATGACTTATTCATTAACCGATGTTAACAATGGCTCATTATGATCTTCACGTTAGGAATTCACACTGGGAGGGAGAGTTCACAGAAGTTTTTTTTCTGTTCTTCCCACAGCATGTTGGGTCCATTAGGATGCTTCTCAGGGCAGGTGAACCTAAGGCCTTTGTACACTTTTTTATTTTTTTTTTTGAGATGGAGTCTCACTAAGTCACTAAGTTGTCTAGGCTCAAATTTACAATCTTTTTGCCTCAGCCTCCTCTTCACTGTAGTTTCTAATAGGCTGAGAAGTTCAGAAAGAGAGAGACATACATGGGAAAGCATAAAAGATGTCAGTAACTCAACTGCAGGAGAAACACACTGCTTTCTGTTCTGTCAGATAATGGAAGAAACCAGAAAGACACCTTGTTCATTGTAGGTAGTCATCTGAGAAGCAGTAAGTAGGTTTAGCTGCAGAAAAATCAGTTTGCTTTTTAAAAAGAGAGAGAGAGAGAGAAATACCCTGCCCGTTGGTGGCTGAATGATGTTGCCAGCACCTGCTCCTCTCTGCTGGGAAAATGTGGGGCGGAATATGCCATGGAGCAGATGACAAAACCCTTGCAGCATGCTGGAAATGCTCCAAAGCAAATCAGAAAACAAAGGAAACAAGGCCTGCACTGGCACCTCCAGTTTCAGGGGCACACTGTTCACTGCCACCTCCAGAAAATGAGTCACCCTTGCAGAACCTGTCACAACTCAAGTTTAATCAATCTCACAGCAGCCAGGGAGGAGGCATCACTCTGTCTTCCTACAGGAGAAGCATTGCGGGAGAACTCGGGGTGACTCAGGTGAGCAGAGTATAGGCTCAGCACCCCTCTGAGGGGAAGAAACAAGATACCCCAGGCTGGCAGAGTGGCACCCGCTGAGCAGCCCATCGTGACCTGGTTCCAGGGAAGAGGCAGCCCCTGAAGTACAAGCCTCATGGGTTCACCTGAGACCAGGCTCAGGGGTCACCTTCAGCTGCTACTCCCCACTGTCAGGATCCTCGTCACTGTTCTCCCCAAGGGGAAAGTCCTTCGTGGGCTTCTGGGTTGTATACATCCGGGTCTCCATGGGGCAGTCCTGGCTCAGAATAGCCTGCAGGAGAGGCAAGAAGAGCAATCACTACACATCTCTGACTGCCTCCCATCTCCCCATTCCTGTCCCCCACTAGCTCATCCAAATCTAGTGCTGTTTAGGAAAAACTCAGGGTGCAACTGTAGACCATAGAGCCTTTCTGGTTCATGTACATGCACAGGCCTCCCAAGATACATAGGTGAGCATCCCTTATAGGGAACAAACACCTATTAAGTTTTAATTGAATCCTGTGATGATACAAGACACAGCAGGAAGCCAGAGGACACTGACACCGCTTTCTACCAGACCTCCCCGTCTTCTTTATTCCTTTGAGCAGCATCAATCACTCTCAAGCTGTCAGACCTTCCTCCTCAGCCCTTCCCAACCCATCAGACCTCAGGGTTGATTGCTGGAACCAGAGGAAAGTATCAATAGCTAAAATCATGCAGAGGTTTTTAGTACTCAAAAAGAAATGTCCCCAAAACAACAAAGAGAAACAGACAGACAGACAGACAGACAGGCAGGCAGATAGAGAGACCCAGTAAAGAGAAGGGCAGACTACTGTAGTAGTGTACATCTATAATATGACCACTCCAGAGGCTGAGGCAGGAAGATTGCTGTGAGTTTGAGGCCATTCTGGGCTACATAGTGAGTTCAAGGCCAGCCTGACCTACATAGCAAGACCTGGTCTCAAAACCAAAACAAAACCAGATAATGGCAGATTCAAATGAATGAATGGTTAACTGAATGAATGTGCCCAGTGGAATTCTGCCCATTTATGAAAGGAATACTTTGTTAATTCATACTGTTCTAGTAACTACATAAGTACAGAGGGTAACTGCTTTTCTCCTTCCTCTTTGCTTCCTTCTTTTATTCAATTTTGGGAACTGAAACCAGGACCTTCTTGCTAAACTACATCCCCAGTCCTTTATATTTTAGTTCTAGTTTTGTTTCAGCTTTTTTTCCTTTTTTGAGGCAGTCTTGCAAGTTGTTAAATTGCCCCTTCTCACCCTGAATTTGCAATCCTCCTGCCTCAGCCTGCAGAGTGCTGAGATTACAAGCTTGTCCCTCTATGTCTGGCTCCATCTTCCCTCTTGAGAGACTCCCTTTGCTGCACATTGTAATGTATGCCTGTATCCTAGCACTCGGGAGGCTAAGGCAAGAGGGTAGGTGTGAGTCTAAGGCCAGCCCTGCCTACGCAAGTTCAAGTCCAGCCTGAACTACATAGCAAGACCTTGTCTCAAAAAGACTAAAAAATAATAATATAAAGAAAAAAAGGAGGAGGAGGAGGAAGGGGAGGAAAAAGAGGAGAAGGAGGAGAAGAAGAAAATAAATAAATAAAAATTAAAGGGTGTAGTTATTTAAACAGAAATTAAGGAAAGATATGACAGGAAGATAAACATAAAAATCAGAAAATGTGGCAAGTCAGAGAGATGATCAACAGAGGGAGGAAATTAGCAGAGAGAGACAATGGAAAGAAGCAGATGTGAATTTTTTAAACAGTTGGAGCTCCTTACAAGCTTCTCCTCATTGGCTGGGGGGTTTCGCAGGAAGTAACAGAGAGGAGCGTAGAGGATGTTAACCACTCCAATGATGACCATGAGCCAGGGGAAACCAATAGCCCGCACAAGGGCACCCCCGGTGGATGGGCCTGTGAAGAATAAAGAAAACTGACAAGTATTTATTGAGCCTCCATCACCTGTAAGACACTACACTAGGAGCCCTGGGTGACCCACAGGATGTCACAGGGTCAGATATCTTCAGGCCCTAGACCATCAGCGTTCTGGCTTCATCTCCAGCTTGCCAATAGTTCACAGAAATGAGTATGGTACCCAGGTCTGGAGCTCCCCTCTCCCACAGCCAACATACCTATAGCAAAGCCCACACAAAAAGCCACATCGGCAATAGCGTAGACACTCCCATACACCGAGGTGTGGCGCAGGTCTACCAGGTGTCCCATGATGGGCATCAGAGAGGAGTCCACCATGCCTGTGGCCAGAGCACACCAGACACAGTCAGCCAGCTCTACACACACCCACGGCATCCCCTCCTTCCCTCCCCTGTCTCACACATCCCCCTGGCCTGCTATCCTCCTGCTCCTTCTTCCTCTCCAGTTCCCTCTGATGGGAAAAGGAGGCAGAAAGGCATCTGAAGGGGCGTCTTACCTATGGCAAAGCCAAGGCCAGCATTGGGGCCAATGAGACCAAAAATATTGTGAGCCAGTGGAACCTGCAAGGGGAAGGAAAAGAACTCATCAGGACAATGGCTCGGCTGGGTGGGCACAAGGTTTCACACGAATGCCTGGAAGAGTGTGTGTGCTGGGTGCCACACTCTGAATTCTCGCATCTCATCAGGAAGAAGAACCATAACCTTCACAGTGAGAGGTGAAAGCAGGAATCGTGTCCATCACATTAAATGCTCTCTGCAAACTTACGGAGCTAACTTGCAAGAGAGCAAGTTTGGACCTCAGTCCCAACTCCATTGTGCTGCTCCGCTGGTCTTTTGCAGGTCACACACTCTTCCTCCTCATCCTCTACCATTCTCTACCCAGACTCCCTACCGCCCTTTTCCCCATTCATCCTAAGGTTTTATGTAAATGCCAAACTTGGTACTCACTGGAGCAAAAAGACAGAAGAGTTCAACAGCCAGTTACTCCCGGGGACAGTGGCATGGTTTCAGCACCACATCAACAGGATAAGAAATTCTAAAGAAATCTAAAGGTCTTCTCTTCCCTGCTATGCAAGTGGCCTGCCTTCCCTTCTTGGTAACTGTCACTGAAACCCATTATCTCTCCAACGGTTAGCACACTACGCAGACAGTAGTGGCTGATAGCAGTGTCAGGGTGGTGCCATCAGTACGGTGTGAGACTCACCAAGGGCCACCGTGTGCCACATTCCCCTCTTACTTTCCAGGATCCCCCAACCACATTGTTTTCTGGTTTGGAGATCCTGGTGCAAATGCAGAGCGGAAGTCGTAGGACCCCACGGGGCTGCTTTTCCTAAGAGCAGAGTTGCTTAGCCTTAGCCCATTTAATGTGCTCCTGGTCCCTCCTTAGACTTTCTGGCAAGAGACCCTAGTGAGTCATAGTGACACACACCGTGTGTCAAATCCCCCAGGGTTCCATGAGTGCAGTTTGCCAACTGCCCCAAAGTATATGGAACTTTTTTCACAGCTGTTTTCTCTGGGAACTGTCTTATCTCTTCAGGTGGATAGGAAATAGCTGGAAAGCAAAGACTGTTGATTTTGGATGTCCAATTCAAAAAGGAAACAAAAATTTCAAATTACCTATCATCTCTACTTCCTTTTGGCAGTGATTGTTTAAAAAAAAGTCTATATTCTGAACTCCAAAGATAAAACTAAAGTTGTAGCTGTTTTCATCATACTATAGTAACAGAACCTGCATGCAGGTTCACACTGCAGTGCTGTGGACTGCTGTACCCACCATGTGAACTGCTAGCGGAATCCTCCCCACACAGACAAGGATACTGAGCAGACAGGTGATAGAAGTACCTCACGGTCACACAAACAGCAAGTGACAAAGCTGGGGTGGAGCCCCGAACTCCAGCCCATCCTAAGCACAGTATTCAGGGTTTTGTATTTCTGTTCTCATCACCCCTAAGCCCAGAAGCCAGAGTCCTGATGACCTCCACAAGGACAAGAGGAAATAAAGGCTTAGAGAGCTCGAAAGGAGCTCTTGCAAACAGCAAATCTTCCTTTCTTCTTCTACCAAATGTAGCAGTGCCAGGGACCAAGGCACAGATGATAGTTCTTTGGTGATGCATGGAGACCTGTCAGAGTGGGTGTACAATGCTGTAAAATGCGCCATAGCTGCTAATGTGTCTCCTTTTGTGGGCCTCTGTGCCAAGCCTGAGACCCTTGTTTCCTGCCGCCTACTGCTCTCTTCTTCTCCTCCCTCTCCTCCTCTCGATGGTACACTATTTGGAAAGTGCAGATCCACCAGGGCTAGTTCCTACCTACTCAGACACAACTTTTTTTGCAGTTCTTGCCTAGTTGAATCTGTTTAATTTCAACAAAAATGGTCTTTTAATATCTGTCTGTTTCTCCCCTGGGACTTATTAGACTTACACAGAGCAAGCTGGTACCAACGACCACCATTCCAACCAGGGAGCACAGCCACCTGCAAGAAAAGGGCTGTCAGCAGACACGAGCCAGGGGAGAGATCCCTGCCACCTGTCACCCCAGATCTACCACACTGGCCAGTCCTACCCACCCTCCAATTCCAACAACCCTGGAGGACGCGAGAGGCTAACTGCATCTCTACAGGACCAGTTTGTACTCGGATGTTTCCTGTCCTTTCCTTGTTCTCATCTTTCACCAGCTCAGATCCAGTCCGCTTCCCACAGCAGAGGCAAGTATGGGACATATTCTTACTTCCCTTAGGAGAGGAGCTTGTTGATTCAGAAGGCACCTTAGGAGCCTCCAACTTGATTTATATGACTTTTCAGTCGAGACCACCTTCTACCCATTTACATTTTCTTTGATTTTGGACGTCCAATTCAAAAAGGAAACAAATTTCAAATTACCTATCATCTCTACTTCCTTTTGGCAGTGATTGTAAAAAAATGTCTATATTCTGAACTCCAAAAATAAAACTAAAGTTGTAGCTGTTTTCATCATACTATAAGAACAGAACCTGCATGCATACCACTCAACCCAGCCCTTCCCCATTAGTGGTTTCTGAGGTCCATCTGTCAAATCCCCAGGGTTCCTTGAGTGCAGTTTGCCAACTGCCCCAAAGTATATGGAACTTTTTCACAGCTGTTTTCTCTGGGGACTGTCTTATCTCTTCAGGTGGATAGGAAATAGCTGGAAAGCAAAGACTGTCGCTCATGTATGCGCTGCCTCTTCCACAGCTCCTTTCTCCACTCTCCTTCCTCTCAGTGGGCAGCTTTCACCTTTCTGTGTTTATCCTAAACTCCCAGTCTCAGAGAAGTCGTTTGTCATCTAAGTGCAGGCCTTTTCCTGCTGTGTTATTATCACTCTTCCCAGACCCCCAGGCTACATACCGACCCATCTTGTTGGCCAGCACCCCGAAGAGGTTGGTGCCAATGAGGTAGGACACACTTGCAGGCAGGAAAGCTAGACCTGTGGGAGGACACAGAGCCTCATCTGAGGACACATCTAGTTAGATCTGAAACACCTGTCTCCTAGGAGGCAGCAACATTCCCCTCTTACTTTCCAGGATCCCCCAACCACATTGCTTTCTGGTTTGGAGATCCTGGTGCAAATGCAGAGCAGAAGTCATAGGACCCCACAGGGCTGCTTTTCCTAAAAGAAGGATTGCTTAACCTTAACCCATTTTATGTGCTCCTGGTCCCTCCTTAGACTTTCTGGCAAGAGGCCCTAGTGAGTCATAGTAGTGCACAAAATATGCTCAACCATCAGCAGGAGAGCAAGAAGGATATACATATTTCTTGGAAAACAAAATCCTCACCTTGTTATTTACCCTCCTTCTATTGCTCTGCCTTGGATGAGTTATCAAAACATTCTGAGCCTTGGTTTACACATGTGGGAAAAGCCAAGCTGTGATTCTATCCTATCAGGTTACAGGGAAGGCAAATGAGATATGGAATATGAAAACACTTTGTAAACAGAAGCCCTGGCCACATGGCTTTGTGTGACAGTAGAGGGAAATGTTGTAGGAACATAGGCTCACTACACACTTCTGAATTCAAATTGTGCCTCAGTCACTTGTGAGCTCTGTGACCTTGGGTAGTGTATGTGGTGTCTCTGTACTGCATTCGTTCATTCATTCATTCATTTTTTCATTCATTCTTCATAACAAACTTTCACCAACTGCCAGTTTTCTTGCAGCTAGGAATGGAGTTAGGAATAGATAGACAAAATTCTAGCTCAAAATTCCAGTAGAGAAAAATAGACAATAAAAAAAACTTAAACAATAAATACATAATTTTGAAAAATGTGTTCCATGGAGGAAACTTAATGCGGGCAATATGGGAGCAGGAACAGAGAACACAATCTGGGGAAACATGGCCTTCCCTCAAGAGGACTGCGGGAAAGCAGTGTCCCGAGGATGGATCCAGGTATGGTGAAGACGGAGGGGGCATTCAGAGAAAAGAATGAGGGCCTGGCGCCCTCACCAATGACAGGGAGTTCCACAAAGCCCAAGGTTTGGAGGAACAAAGGAGAACGGAGCTCCAAGGGGAAATTAAGAACCCTCTGAAAATCTGAGTGTGTCCTCTAAAGGGTCTTATGTGGGAGATTTGTCTCTAGCATAGTGTGACACAAAATGTGATGGGAGCCTTAAGAGTGAAGCCTGATGGAGGGGGAGCTGCCTCCCAAATGTATTAAGGTGACACATGGAGTCCCTGAGCTTTTCCAAGTGTAAGCTGGACACCAGATCACTCTCTGGCTTCCTGTTTGGTGATATGATTCATTGTTCTGCACGTACTCTAACCATCTGCCCTTGCCAGAGCTGACAGTATGTTGCTTGAATCATTAGCTTCCAAAACTGTGTACTAAATAAGCCTTTGGACTGTATGAAGTGAATCTTTCTCGGGCATTTGACAATGTACTCATACAAGGGATGATATTTCTTTCCATATGAGCTAGTTAAGATGAGGCTTAAAGGTGATGCTGCCTGTCAAACATTCTGCATGATGTCTGGCACAAGTAGTACCTTATGAGAACTGACTTTAGTCTCATCATAAATGATGAGTGACTGGTTTAAGAGCAGAACCCAGGCTTCCTGCTCCAGTGCCAGGCATTTCCACTACCAGCCTCAATGGCTCAATGGCTCTGGAGCAAGGACCTGCTTGGAATTAGCAGCATGAGTTTCTCCGGGTCTCAGCAGCCTGAACTGCACTTCTCTGGACATAAAGGAAGCAATGGAGCCCAATAGAAAACCTCATTAAACCCAAAGTCAACAATTCATCAGGTCCAGGCTGATGGCGTGTTTGCTTTTAATATTCTCTTCTATGGAGTGGAAACGAAGCCTAGCTCAGTGTATTTGTCTAGTCTATCTGCACTGGGGTGGCAATCTGTTTCAAAGTATATCTATTTGCTTATGCATAATTGCCTGGAAAAACCTAGAGTTATAACTACTGGACTGTTTATCTCACTGGAGGAAATCGGCATCTCTAGGAAGCTTGCTGGCCTAGCTACATCTCCTCAACATCATTGTGAATGGTGTGGAATTTCCAAATGAGATTTTCCTCAATCCCTGCAGCTGGTTCTTCAGAACCTAGTTACAGTTCACACTTCAGCCGCGCTGTGTGTTCTCAACTCCACGTCCACCGGCGATATGCACTGTTCTCAGTGTGTCTTCAAGAGTGCTGTGACTATCAAAATGGTTTAAAAATTTATGAAAATAGCTAATAATATTTCTTATTGGCTGAGAGCATACTATATTCTCTGCATGGTACTAATCTCTTTGGAATAAATACATAGATCCAAACAACTTGGAAGACTATCTCTATTTTGACAAAGAAACAAAGAAACCTGAGCAACTGTTTTGCTTTGAAGATAACAATATGCAATATAACAACCATCGTTAAATTTCTATTGCCTTGTTTTGAAAACCTATATAGCTATTGTTGGGAGTTTTTTGTTATTATTGTTGTCATTTTGCTTTTGTTGTGGTTGATTTTTAGGTTTGTTTGCTTCTTGATTTTTCTGGGGTTTTTTCCTTTTTTCTCTATAAAATAAAATAAAAGACTTACTTAGATGCCACTATGGACCCAGAAACTTGACATATATCACCTAAGGAATTTCTGTTTCTATTTTAATAAAATCATCTTGCTTGGTTTAAAAAAAGGGGGGCGGGAGTGCAAGGAGGTGAAATAACTCATCAAAAGTTACAACAGGAGTGGCCAGGTCTCGATTCAGACCCCGGCAGGCCAGTTTCCAAAGCTGAGCCTTCTTTCAGTGTTTGCCAATAGTGCTTGGCACAAGTGGGCCACATGGCAAAGGCTGCATTGTGGCCTGCACCTCGCTCCTAATAACCTGGTTGCCTTTGCTCCTCCCAGCAACATGGAGAGGCGATCTCCATGTGGAGCACTTGTTTACTACTTGTGGCTGCTGGTGACAGACAGCATCACCTGGAATCTCACTGGGAATCCACATTTGTCTTTCCTGACCTGCTGTCTGGAGCCCACAATCAGGCTTTACAACCTCGAAGGGTAGCTCTGGGGTCAGCACTGGAGAACCTTCAATGTTAGACTTTACAGATGCAGAGGGCACTGAGGAAAGCTGCACAAGGCACCAGGAACTGGAAACAGGGTTGCCGGGGGAGGGATCCTCGTTGCTGCCATTATTTGTGGGCACCAGGAGCTCAGGAGTCAGATTATGGGCAGGGAATGCATTATCTGCACTGAACATTGCCTAACTCAATTAATTATCAAGGCCAGAGGCAGTTGCACTCCAGAAAAATTCAATTTGGGGCCAGGAGTGCAATGGGGAACTTTGCCTACAATTGTTCCCTAAAAAATTAGATTTGGTACTTTTCGGTGCATCCTGGGCTATATCAAGTTCTTATCAGTTTCCCCTCTGGCTCTGTAAGCCTCCACTCCCTGCAGTGACTGAGCCATTTGCACGTAGCCTTCTTTGTCCCTTTTCTCTGACTTCCTGAAGGAGCTGGAGCTTTTTCTCTAAGCTCAGGTGAATCCTGCTGCTCCAGCAAAGAGGCTGGTGACCTCTCTTTGGCTGTAGAGATTTCCACAGGGTACAGAGCTCAGCACCTTCTTAAGTGCTGAGAGCTACAGTGCTTCTTCCACAACAACTTTCCTAGAGATGAAAAAGCAAAAAAGCAGGGGGAGTGGAAGAGAAGAAAGCATGGATGGTACTGCTGGTTCACATTCATGTGGTACAAAGCGTGCCCACACTTACATAGCTCATTCCTACAGTTAATATGGATGGTCATGATAGTGCATAGCAATAACTGCATGTGCAAAGCATTTCCACAACCCAGAACATTTATTACTCCAATTTCTATTGGACTATATGGCGATTGGTGCCATTTTAGAGATGAGAAATGTAATTTGCACACATTTACTTCACTAATCCATGGAACCAAAACAGAATCCTAGGTCTTTTGACTGGAAAACTTTAATCACTTTACCATACAGCTACATATTGGTGCTGTCACCCACTGCCCCTTTCATTTCTCAGTCTGTTTCTCTGGGTGGCTGCCCACAGGGAAGGTAACTCTACAAAGGAAATAGATTGGCCCTCTGAGATGCTGATGACCTGGGCTCAATGATGCTTCCTGATTATCCGAGAAATGGTCCACAGCTCCTACCTCTGCCCAAGTCCAAGGTTACTTACCTAGCTGCCATTCCGGGGAACACATGGTCTGCATCATCCAGATGGGCAGTGTGGGTTCCAGGATGGCCACACCCATGTTGGCAAAGCAGATGGAACCTGGAGAGATGTTTCTGTGAGCCACTGTGGGCTTGAAGCCCAGAGTCTTCTAGGAGCCATTGGTAGCTTACCTGCAGCCACCAAGATATAAGGGTCTTTGAGAAGCATAAGGAGCGGAGTCCCCTTGGCACTCTGAGAAGGAACATGGACAAGAAAAAGTCTCCATCAGTACAGTGCTCACATCTCTCTTGTCTTTGCGGAGTCCGAGAATGTGCACACAAGACCTTGGAAACTATCTAGCCCATACCCTTTACTGCAGAGATCAGGAAAGCCAAGTCCAGGGGCAGAAGGTGACTTGCCTAATGTCACATACTAAACTGGAGGCAGAGCCCATCCTGTGTGCCAGACAGAAACATGGATAGTCACAGAGAAGAAGCATCATACTTCAAGTGTGATGCCTGCCTCAACCTGACCTCAGTCAGGCCCATGTGAATGGTGATAAGTACTGGGCAACAGGCACTCCGAGGCCTTTCAGCTCCATCCATCTGGCACCAACTTCTGTTCTGGGAGGACCATAGGCTGACCATGAATCCCCAGAATGGGCTGAGAAGTGCTACCTCAGGAAGCTCCTCAAGCTGTTTGAATTCTTCCTAGTCACTAGGTGAGGTACATTGCACTGGTGTAGCAGATAGCTTTGACATCTGGGTAAAAACACTGGCCTAGATGCCTGGTTCTAGCTTCCCCTCCCTCTTAAAGAGGCATACTTTTATCCCAGCACACTGGTCACCCATTGTCCTCCCATGCATCACAGCATTCCCTCCACCATCATTTATCTCTTTGCAGGAACAACCTTCCTTCTCATCTCCAGGTGCCTCACGTTCATTCAGGGTCAAGCTCAAATGGCTCCTTCATTCCCTAGAGTTCCCTAGCTTAGTAGCTGGAACTTCTTCCTCTTTCAAACTTCCTCAGCATTCTGTCCCAATCCCCTATAGGGTGTGCTCTATTTTATCTTGGAAGAGCCTTAATAATTTCGTTGTGATAATCTGTGCATATACAAAAGAGTAGATGGAGACATAAAGAGATCCATAAAGAGCCCTCAGTTCTTGTATAATTCAAAGAAAGAAACAAATGGAAATGATAAAGATAAAAATAAAGTTCAATGAACTTCTAGAAATTTGAAGATTACTGCCAACATTCTAAAAATGCATGTATGTAAGATAATTAATTATAGCATTATATTTTATGGAAAATGAGATAATATAGTATACATTGTTCATTTTCTGTTATTTGGTTCTGAACGCCCTGTAATACTTTCATTCTCTTGAATGGTTTTATACTATTTTGTTATGTTTGATACTATTGTATATGAAGGTATGCTCAACTATTTCAAAGAAAGAGACATTATGGTAGCTACTGTTAATATCCGGTTGTCTTGTGGTGAAGTGCTGTGCTGCTTATATTGTTCTGTTCTGATCTGCTTTGTTCTGTCCTCTTTTGTCTTAATCTCTTTAAAAGAAAAAAATTATAGCATTATTTGCGACTGCAAACTATTGAAAACTATATAAACACTCAAACAGGAAATTGAATAAAATGTGGCATATATAATGCTAAAAACTGTCAGAATTCTTCCTAGTAAAAATAATAGTAAAAACTCCCTTTATAGGAAGTAATTTTTAGGATATATTGTCAAATGACAGGAGAAAGGTAGAATGTAAAGAATAGTATATGTATAATAGCTTTTATGTGAAAAAGAGGGGATAAGAAAACATACATGAACTATTTTGGAGAAGAAATACAAAAGCACTGGAAAGATAAACCAGAAAATCATTAAATGGGTTACTATACCTATAAATAGTAAGGGTGAGGGAGGGCAAAGGCAGAAAGCTTATGGACAGACTCACTTCTACATGGTAATGTTTGACATATTTAAATAATAGAGTTATGTTCATGTTATGTACTTAACTGTGAACCTCCAAAACTCATATGCTGAAGCTTAGTGTATGCCCTACTTGAAGACAGGTCTTTTAGGGAAATAATCGTAATGAGGTCATAAGGATAGAGCCCTCCTCTGGTAGGAATTGTGTCCTTATAAGAGGAAAGAGACCTCTGTCTCTGTGCACACACATTGAAGAAAAATGATGGGGGCACAACGAGAAGGTGGCCTCTGCTAACTAGGGACAGAGGCCTCACTAGAGCCCGGTACTGACAACACCTTGCTCTTGGATGTCCAGCCTCTAGGACTGTGAAAAAATAGATGCTTGCTGTTTAGGCACCCAGCATTTTGTTATGGCAACCTGAGACTAATGCAAGTACCAAGAATGGAGAAACAATTAAAACTGAAGGCCAAAAAAAGCAAATGAATGCAACTGAACTTTAAATGTGTTATATGTAGTACAATCACACACACGACTGGAAAAAGAACCAATGCAATTCTAAACAGTATTTTGGCTATATTCCCTAAGCTTATGGAGAAAAGAAATGCAAAAGTCTTGAACACTTTTTAGTAGGTTTGTTTTTTATAGTGACATGGGCATACAAATAATAATAATATATTATAAATTGTTATAGGATTGCACAAATAGGTAAAAGTCTTAATTTGGGGACAGCCAAGATGCTCACAATGAAAATGGGTGAATACAAATACAAAAGGAAGAACATGACAAACGTCCTGTGTCGCTGGTCTGGAAGCAGAAGTTTCACAATGCACTCGTGTGTGCCTATCAACTCTCTCACTGAGGGGACCTAGGAAGGGGGAGCCCGTAACAGCAGTGAGCAGATCAAGTGCCCACGTCTTGGCTTCTCAGTACCATTCTCCATTGGAAGAAACTAGCACTTTTTGGAGAAACGGTTGATTCCAGGGCTGAAGCAAGGAAGATATGAGATGAGCACAAGACCAGTTTTGGTACCAGAAAGTAAAACCTTATTCAAAAAATACTGATGGCACGCTAAAGTGGCACAACAGCTACTTTGAAAGGGCTCCCATTTGCCAAATCTAGGACAATTTGACCATCAAAGTAAATAGACAATGAGGAACTACAATCCACTGATCAAAATAGCAATCTATGGATTCTAATTGAAAATGAGTAGGTAAATGAAGTGCAGATGTTTGCATATAATATGTATAAATAAACACGTATTATGCATATAGATAGAAAAAGGAATGAATATTTCTTGCAGAAAAATATCAATGATGGTGGGGAGGGGTTGGTAAAATAGAAATCCCAGGGGCTGGGGATTTAGCTCAGCGGCATAAGCGCCTGCCTTGCAAGCAGGCAGTCGTGAGTTCGATCCCTGGTACCGATAAAAAGGAAAAAGAAAAAAGAAAAAAAAAATAGAAATCCCAGCATTTATCAAATATTATAGCAAGGATGTGTTCAGGCAAGGATCGCTGATGTCTAATAAACTTGGGATGGGGTGAAATTTGGAGAAGACAGGAGATTAACATGGCATCAGTGTCTCCCACAGACTATTCATCAGCTACAAAGTGAAAAACAGTTAAGGCACAACGGAGAGACCAACAATATCTTAGCCCTGTGATCAAAACAATCACCGCTGACAGGTAGATGGGGACTGTGGGCCTCCAAAGATCACACTCCAGAAGGACACAGTATTTCTTAAGTGATGCGATGACAGGAGGTATATGGCCTAGAGCTGATCATGAGGAAACATAAAGCCAGGAAAATTTATGGAGATTCTCTAAAATAATCTTATGCTTCAAAAAACCCAATGCCATGAAAAATAAAGAAAGGCAGAGGAACTTTTCCAGATTAGGGGAGACCAAAAGATAGGACACTCAAAAGTACCACATAATCCTGGACTAAATCCTATTACTGAAAATTCAAAAGAAAAAAGACTACTCAGAGAGCTTTATTCAGATAATGGAAAAATCAGAGTAGTACTTGGGATATTATATCAATGTCAGATTTCCTGAATTTGATAACTCAGTTGCCATTACATAAGGAAATAGCTCTGTTCTCAAGAAAAATTCCTTATTAAGGGGTAAGAGGATGACAAAAGTAAGCTACTCTCAAATGGCTTAGAGAAGGATAAGGAAGGATAATAATTTGTGTATGTGTTTGAGAGAAAGACAGAGAAAGAAGAACTATAACAAAAATGCTAAAAGTTACTAAAGACATTGGATTGTGGGGGTTCTCTTTCATTGGACTACGTCTGATATCTGACGCTGACAACCTTCTGTAAATTTGAAATTGTTTCACAATCACAAGTTTCAAAAGTCTAATGAAACTTGTACCCCCAGAGTCAAGTTCTTCTTAAAAATCTTAGATGGTATCCTGCTTTCCTGGTTTCCTTTTTTCCCCAACTTAGTCTGTTGGTTGAAAGACCCATCACTTTGGCACAGAGGGTACTCAGTAAGTAGTAGTGGAACCAACTGGAGAATGTGCCTCAGCCTGGGCAGGTACTGGGACCAAGCACGCTCAAGGTCTGGTGGTCTGAGAGGAAGGCATGTGGTTCTCCTTGCTCTGAGGAGTTCAGAGTGGGCAGTGGTTATAATTGCATCCCCCCCGAGGACGCAGACATCTCTGCTGAGATGCCAGTTCCCGAAGAGTGGCACCATCTCTGCTTCAGCAGACCACAGAAGGCTCCCAACACTACTGTGTGGGAACTGGCACTGTCAAAACGTCACCACTGTCACAGCGTCAAATTATCTCAGATGCTTTTCACTTTACCTTCAATTTCTGTGTCTGTAGAATGTGATTAAGATAAGTAACATAAAGCATAGATGGTATAATTACTAGATGTAGTATTATAACTACTTCTGGAGTACTTTCATGGTCTTTAAATGCAAAGTCAAAGTCTTTAGATTAAACTTTGCCATATTTCCTGCACTCTTTTCTTCTGTGTGCTGAGTAATTCATCACAATATGATCTGATATTGATTTCACACAGCCATACTTGGCATGGAGTCAAACCAATAGTGTCTCTGGTATTCATTGTCTGTGACAGAGTGATCACCTGTTAGGGATGTCTTGGAGGAAGCCTTTTATGGGTAGGGTTGTCTGTGGGCCCAGGGCCTGACAGTCTTCTCCAAGAGAAGACTTCTTTGGTCCTCCATTTTTGTCAGATTCTTTTGCCATTGCCTACACTTAAATGCAACCCTATGCAAAAACCCAGGTGTAACACTCTGTGAAATCTGTCTGGGCTCTTTCCCCTTTTCCCTGACAGTGTGACAGGCATGCCTGGGTACCTGTACTCAGCCATTCTACATATCTCTTAGTAATGCAACTGGTGTCCACTCACCTCAGGAGAGACTTTGGAAGGCTGCAGGATGCAGAGCTGGAGTGCTAAGAAAGAAAAGGACAGAGAAAGAGTTCAGCTTGTTCATGGTCAGGCAGGGGTTCCAATAACAGCCACACTGCTGCCAGCTAACATCTTCTTTTCTAGGAATGGAGCAACCTTTGCTCCATCAAAACACATCCACACCACCCACCAGTGGTAAAGACTGACAGACTGCATTGCTAATCTGTCCTGAGCTATCACCTACCCGGGACCCCATTGCTGACTCACCTCCATCCAGTAGTGCCAGGAAGGCCAGGATGAGAAAAGGAGCAGACTTTCCAACAAACTCATACATCACACTTCCAAAAGGAGCTCCCACTGGAAAAGCAACGCAGCACACACAGAGGTGAGGCCCATCCCAGTCAGCGAGACTTATCCACATTACCAAATGAGGATTCACTGAAGGCCTACCAAGGGTTAAACTCAACTGGAGATTCTGGGGGCCTCAGGGATGAAGACTTGGTGTTTGTCCATGTAGTGAAGGAAATGTGCTTGGGAGTCAGAGGACAAAAAATTAGAATGTGATGGGAAGCCCTGGAGTAAAAGATGTGTGCACAAGAGCTGTGTAAATCCAGAGGTGTGAGTTAGAAAGTTTAGGTGGCCACAAGGGTTTTGCTAAGTGAAGAAGCAGAAAGAATGTAAGGAGGAGGCTGAGGATTTAGCTCAGCGGCATAAGCATCTGCCTGGCAAGTGCGAGGTCATGAGTTGGATCCCCGGTTCCAAAAAAAAGAACTGTCCAAAAAGATGGTGCAGGTAGAGAATAAAGTCAGTATCATTAGAATATGAATACTTGGAAGGGAAAGAGTGGTGAGGTGGGTTGAGGCCACTGAACTCAGGAAATTCTACTGGGAGCATCATGAAGGGAAGAGAGAATGTGAAAGAGATAAGCCAGGAAGCTGGTGCTCTGTTCCAATCAAGAACAAGTGAGCTTGTCTTGAAGCAGTTGTAGAGGATATAATGAATCTGTTTCCTTGAGACTGATTGTGATGAAGGAACCCTGGAAGCACCAAAGTTTAGTTGAGAGAGGTTGGTGGATATTAATGAGGAACAGAACTTTGTTCCCTTTCTTTCTCATGGTGGCAGAAGGCAGCCTCATTCTTGGAAAGATTTTAGGTGTCATCTCAATGAGCTTGGAAGCTCCCAGAAGGCAGGACTTCGTATGTCTGGAGCTTCTTACTCACACACCCTCTGAGCTAGCATTGTATTTAACATATAGGAAGTGTTCAGCAGAAAGAAGTAACTTGTCAGATCTAGTCAATTAAGCAATATGAATGATGAACTTCAAGAAAAAGTATAACCTTATTGTTTGGAGCTTGGATTCTGATTGAGGAATGTCTCAGGCTTCATCCTAGCTCTTGAACTTCCTGGCTGTGTCTTTGAATGGTTACCTAACCTTTCTCATCTTCACTCTATCCTTCTGGTAATCATCCCTTCTTCACAAGGTGGCAGTGTGGAACATAGGAGATTATATCTACAGTAAATCAAGTAGAGGATCTGGCAAGGGCATGCTTTCATGCTGAAAGTTCTGGCCATGTGTGGAAGCAGAGGTGAGGCAGGCAATGGGCACAAATGTAAAACATTCACTCCTTTGGACAGGCTGGTCTTCTGGAATTGCCCCAGGCTCTTGTGGGCTGCTCAGCAACTTAAGGAAAAAGAAACTTTTCCTTGGTGATATTTCCAAAGAAGTCAACATGAGATTAGGTCAAGAAGGAAAATACTTGTCTTCCATGTAACTGGAAAAACCAGCTCCTGGAACCATCTCTGATGGTCTGCAGTACCCCCTACCCTATTGAGTCTCAATCTCCAGCCAGGCACAACCTACCTAGAACTCCCAAAGCCAGGCCACCCAGAGCGATTCCCATGACTTTTCCTCTCTCGTAGTCATCAGTGTAGACACTGGCGAGCATTCCAAGACCTGAACAAAGACTGCAGGTGAAGTTGGCATATGGGAGCTTTCTGTCTGCCCTGTCAGTGTCTTTGGTCCTTGCCCTACTATATCTTCAGTGACAATCTTAGTTATAGTCCCAGTTTGAAGGGTTAGCACGCAAAACTTGGTCCACAGCAAATTGTAAATACTGCTTCCTACCATTCCCCCAAATCCTCATACTACTCATTCCTCTGATAATTAATAATTTTGGAAGTGCAAAGGCTTCAGGAAAGGGTAACAGAATAACAGTCTAACTATGCCTCGTTTCATAGGGGAGACTAAGGAAAGGTCCCCCAGTGAATACAGACTATCTCATTCAGGCTGGTGTCCAAAGAAAAGCATGAACAAGCCCAGCACTTGGAAAAGGGTGGGACCCGGAAGTGAATGGTAGCTGTCACAAAATGGCCCAAAGTAAGGGCTTGGCTTACTTCATGGCTTTACTTGGGCTTGTTCTGACCCAAGCTAGCTGCAGCTAAATATTATCACAGGGAGTTATCATCAGCTTAGGGATCTGTAGGCTCTGCTAGCAACACTACCCTTACCTTGTTCCTGAATCATAATTTCTACCTATGAGGATGACATTTTCCTTAATTTCCTCATATAAATGTGATACTGCCTGAGGTAGTAATGGGTGGTAAGAAATGTTTGTCAGCCCTACCTGCAACAGAGGAAAAGGAAGATCCAATGCCTTGGAGAGTTCGAGCCACAAACAGTAGGGTATAGGTGCCAGAAAAAGCAAACACTGTGCACAGAAAATAGCAAGAATGCTTTTGTTACCAAGCTGCCTTAGATTGCCAGCCACCAGATGACATGCTCATGATACAGCACAGGTGACTCATTTATGCATATCTTTTAATAGAGCAGGATGATTTTTACTATCTTTTCTTGAAGCTGTCTTTCTAATATTCCTCAGCTTTCAATGAGAATTGATTTTAATTGGTAAGAAGACTGGGAAACCACATGTATGCAAACCAAGCAATTGCACAGTGGATGGAAGGCTGACTGTCAGTATATCTTGGTGAAAACTTGACATCCTGGTCACTGGAAACAGACCTCCATGAAGTCCAATGGCCTGGTCTTGGAACTACCAGGTACCTACTTAGACTCTATTCCTTGGATTTCTGAAACATACAAATTTGGCCTTTTCTGTTATTGGGCTACACTGGTCACCTAGAATACTGTGACATGTACACACCAGGAACCACAGGTTTTGAGTTGAAAATATCTTGTGATGCAGTCAGATCCTTTGCTTTACCTCACACTAGAAGATCTTTTACCCAAATCAAAGTAGTATTAACATAGACTGAATGTACAATTTTGCTAGACTCTATAGCAAATGAGAGAGAGAGAGAGAGAGAGAGAGAGAGAGAGAGAAAGAGAGAGAGAGACAAAAGCAGAGACAGAACATCTAGGTTATACCCCAGCAGAGATTAAATCTGTTGGAGACTAACAACATACAAGAAAATGTGAGTCAAACAGAAATACGTTATCAAACACTAAATTATAGGGTGTTGGTGGTCAGGTTGGTACGTTCAGACATGCCTCACCCTCAATTCCAGAATGCTGTTTCCTAAAGAAAGAAAAATCCCTCCCAAAATGTCTGAATCAGAAGCATTTTAATCCTTTGGGTCATCATTATAGGTGTGTTTGGCTGTGTTTATGATCTTAACCAGTTACTTTCCAACATGATCACATTCAACTACTCACTGCCTCTCAAACAAACACAGTCTTGGTCTCTCCCTTGCTGGCTTCCAATGCCATTTTACAGATTTCCAATATGTTCAAAATCTACCATTCTATGTCCTTCGAGAATAGAGTGACCAACTTGTTTTGGTTTGCCCACTTTTTTAGCTGTAAAACTGCAGTGTTTTATTCTGGGAAGCCCCGTAGAAAATGAGCAAGATACAGTGGTTAGTCACTGTACTCAGAAAAATCAAGTTAGTTTCCTTCTTCTTTTCATTGCCAACCCGGGCCACTAGTTAGTTCCCAACTGCAGTAAGCATGGTTCCCAGACAGGAACTTTTGATGGTTGTAGAGGGCATAACAACCTCTTTTCAGCTGTTTTTTTAAACCCTAAATGATGATACAGAGGGATGTTCTAACCACTAAATATACTTTGTTTGGGATAGAATTATGCTAAGTCAGTACAGGACACTGGTGATCTCATGGAAATGAGAACTGACTGAAACAAAAATTATGATTTATCACATACAGTTTGGTAGATAAGAAAAGCTTTTAAAATAGGAGTTCTTGGCAGAGAATCAGACAAGGACCTAAGGCTAAAGAGTTTAGGCTCCACTAATACACTGCATTATCTTACTTTGCAGGATGTTTTTTCCCCAGCCACCATATACTCTTGGATACCTGGAACCATGTCTTTTCTGTGTTTAAGTGACATAATACAAGTGCTTCAAAAGATTTCGTGGAGCAATTTTTAAGACTTGTTAGATGATCTCCTTAATATTTAATTTGAATCCTTTGGGGCTGGAAATGTGACTCATTGGTACAGTTCTTGTCTTGCATGCACAAGACCCTGGACTTGAGCTCCAGCAACACAAAAAAATTAAAAAAATAATTTCCAGCCCTGATTTAATATGTTCTTGTTAAATAATGGGTCAATAGGAGTCGAATCTTATGCTGGGAGGTAAGAAAAATTTAAGAAGAGTTGTACAGGAAATAGACAATTAATTAACAGAAAGGTAATTTAAAAAGAGGGAAAAGTTATGTTTTTGGAAAGCAGAAAGTCAACAGAGTCTGCAGAAATCACCGATGAGCCCACAGTCTTTTCCTTAATGTAGACTCCCCTTGCATTCTTCTTTTCTTTACATCTAAGGGCCAACTATATTTTTCTTAATATTTATATTCCATCCCCATTCTATTAGAAACATTTATTGTTACTGGATAGACTATTTGTCCTTTTCCTTTCTTGCTCCTTTAGCAAATTTACTTTCCTAAATTATAACCTTTAATGCCCTTAGCTGGAAAGCAGTAACGGTTTAGGAATTTTTCAGTCCTTATTGTCCAACTTCCATTTTATTTTGTTAGTTGTCCTTCACCAAGGCATATCACAATGCTATGACCTCTTCCCAAACATGGGGGTGGGGACTGTACTAAATTTTCCCAGAAGATTACTGCTACTAGTACACGCACACACACACACACTAACACACACATTCAAACAGCTTTCATGATTTCTACCAGCACAAATGAAGTATCTGTTCTTCAGCAGAACAGGCATATTCTAACTAGATTAAGTTGCCACTACCATTCTAGTCCTCACTCTGAAAATTGCAAAGCTTTCAAATCAGTGTTCTAGTCCACTTACTCAGATGCCTAATTGCTCTCTGGGCTGAACTGACTCTCTTCTGTACACAGCATGATAAAATCAGGGCGCTCAGTGGAGGGAAGGGAAAGGGGAGAGAATTACTTACTAATGGTGGAGAGGAACATGATAACAAAGCCAGCAAACATGGGAATGTGATATCCAACCCTAAAAAGGGATTGAACAAGATTCAATTCCAACAGGCTGTAGTGTATATACATATATTTTTAACAGAAGTGGGAACAGAAATGCAGTTAATTTGAGTACAACCTGCCTATGAATGAAGTGTGGAGATGGACTACAACATGTAAATGAGCACAAGTAAATAAAATAAACAAATATGAAACTTACCCCATAGACTAAGGCCAGATTCTCTTTTCCAGAAAGGATAGCTTACAAAGGGTGTATTGCCTTAAAACACCAGGGTAATCCCAGACACAAACAGTAGGAACCCTAGTACTTTAGACTGCATTAGATTCTCCTGCTCTTCCCACTCAAGCCCTGTTCCAGGGCATGGATGAGACATCAGCTGTAAGGTGCTGCTCACTGGTTCTCTGCTTAATATTTAATATTCATTACATCACTAAGAAAAGAAGCTCACAGTACTTTATCAATACATCATCCTTTGGAGGAACCAGATTTTCAAATAGCTGACTCCCCTTGGACCAGAGTGTTCCTTTTTTTCCCCCTTGTAATCATCTATATGAAACCTTAGCACACAGCTATTACTACCTGAGCCTGTAGAGTACTGTGCCCACTGAGATACCTGTTGGTGAGAGGTCCCACAAATGGGTTGACCAGAAGTTGCATCAAAGCCTTGGAAGCAAACAGAACTCCAACTCGCATGTTCTCCTCCTCCAAGAACTCTGTGCCTTGCAAGCAGTTGTTTTTATGTGCTGAGCTGGCTTCAGTGACTGGAGGAGGGATGGTGCTGGCAGAGCCATTGGGCCATGCTGTGCTCCTGGGAACACTTTCTTCTACAACTATGGTGGTGTTGTCAAAAAAGGAGAAGATGGCAGAGAAGGCAGTAGAGGTAGGAGCTGGCAGGGAACTTAGAGAACGGCCGTGGTGCAGAGAAGAGTTGCTTTCTTTGAACTCTGTGGCATACAGGAAGGTGGGCACAATGGGCACTGAAAGTCAATGAAGACATGTGATGGAGGCTAAAGACAGATAATCTTTTCAGCCCTACTAGGTTCAGGAGCATTGCTATGGGGCTTGGTTTATGCTAAAGGAAGATGTCCAAATGATATCACTCACCCATTAAAGATTGTACCTGCCCACACTATCCTATTAGCAAAAGGACCTGAATTCCAACCATCACACAGTTGGTCTCATGGATTCGTGGATTTCATATTGGCTAACTCACTACTCACCAAAGTTATTTGTAACCTGAGATCAATACTTGCTGAGCTCTCATGAGTTTTTGCAGACGGGTGGAAAGTACCTAAAAACTTGAAGCACCTGCTGCATATATTCTGGCTGAAGGAGAAGGTGAATGTTGCTCCCTTGTCTCAGTCCCCCCACATAGGTGATCAGAGAATAGGAAGAGGCGTGGGAACCAGTGGGGTATGGTCTAAGGGGCTGAAGCTCTGGAATGGTTCCATGAGCCTTGAATCCCAGCTATAGTACTTGTTAGCAGGTAGCTTTGGACATATCACTTAACACTTCTGAATTTAACTTTTTATAGAGAAAAAAATAAGCAAAATGCATTGTTTCCAGAATTTAATCTATGTAGCAAGAGGGGCGTTGTGTGTGCATCTGATTATGAAAATGACTCAGTATTGACTAATTCAGTGTTTGCAACAGTTTAATAGAACATAGTTACAACTATAGAACCATGAATAAGAACCAACTGTATTTGATTAACTATTTGTCTCAGGAAGAATCTTTTATATTTTGTTTTGTTTTTTTTTGTTCTTGTCTTCTTGAGACCAAGTTTTACTATGCAGTCCGGGCTGGTCTTGAACTCTTGTATTCAACTTGTGGCCTTGGATGGCCTTGAACTACTACCTCAGCCTCCTGAATGCTAGGATTACAGGTGTGCACCAAAATGCCCAGCTGGAAACATTCTTATTTAAAGACTTACATCTTACTCAGGAGGCACAACTTTTTAATAACCATTTATATACTGCCAATAATATAATGTATAGATTAAAAGAGTATCAAGCAAAAAAAGCAGGATTGTGTGAAAAGTAGGGCTTGGTAAAAACTTGGATACCCAACGCAGTGTACTATTTTTGGAGGGCAAAACTACCTACTGTCTCAGAGGCTACTGTAGTTATTAAGACCTCGGGAAGACAGAATGAGGAAGAAGAAAAGTAAGATTTTTCTGTCTCCTTGACTTCCTCTTTTCTAGTCAGATGCTTTCTGAATGGCCTTCTCTTTGAGCCCCTGGTGTCAGGAGCAATGGCTGGCAGGCTTTGAGCTCACTGCCTGCAACTTCCGCCAGCCCCTAGAGACTTCCATGTGTGTTCCATCAGAAAAAATCTGAAGTTTGCTTACTGCTAAAATTGAGCAGGATATGTGCTGCCTTCCAGGGCCCAAAGCAAAAGAACCCTCAATACAAAGATGCTATAACTTACCCACCACAGTAAGCAGCATGTTATCCAGGAGCAAAGCTACAAACACCACCAGCAGCACCAGCTTCCGGGACTCTCTTCCTTTCTTTAGCAGCCGCTGGGGAACGTCCAGGACCACCCGGAGCATGGTGGGGCTAGGGCAGATACTTCTTCCTCCGGGAGAAGGCAGTTAGAGCCACAGAAGTGCAGAGCAAGTCTGCTCAGCCAGTGATGCTCACTGTTACAATGAAAAGTGCAGCAGATTATAGTTAGAAAGATGATGTTTGAAAATTTTCTATGCCTTGACTCCTTTCGTTTCTTATACCTATTAATAATAACTCCACCAATTCCCACACTGCCTTCCAGGCCAACACTGCTTACCAGCAATTTATATCTGGAATTATACCTAGTATATTTAACAGACAGCACAAATCGCCTAGTCGCCTGTTCCTTAAATGTTTGACATTTGCCTCTCATCTTGATTGTTTAGAAGGTCATTGTTTGGATCATAGATTAGTCACTGGTTTGGGTCATTAATAAGTCATTGATTGTTTAGGACTATTATTTCCTTTTCTCTTCTAAGTTTGTGCTTTTAAAATACTGTTTTTAAAAGTAATTTTATATGCTTTGCAAAAATATTCTGTTCTATGTCTATCACCCAAAAATGACAGTCTAGGTTTCACGTACCACCCAAATATGTCTTACACAGACCAGAATCATTTAGCCTCCCCTTTGAAAAACCCTGGACTGGACCAGAACTTTCATCTCACAGTGGCAAAATCACAGCCTCAGGAGCTGAGATTTGTCTTGGGTCACATAACTGGTGTCAGGGGGATGAAATCCCAAGGTTTTCACTTGCATACTTCCATTCTACCTCTTTCCTTTGCTGTAGGGTACTAGAGGTGCTTTTCCCTTGTGTAAGCTATGAACCCCTGCTCAGAAAGATGTATCATCCCATGTAAGATACTGACTTTCATGATTAGTGTCTCATCTGGGGTTTCCTGTAATTCACCAGCATTTGGTCACAGTACCTTGTCACACTTCAAGTATTATCATTTCAGGGAAGATTTTATTTTCTTATGTGTGGCTTCTGTTGTGGTACCAATAATATCAATAATTTAATTTTTTAAAATTGTTCCTTTCTACATTTATTATTTTTGCTTTTTATTAGTACATGTTTGCTTTTGACTTAGTAACTCTACTTCAAGTTACCTATCCTAAAGAAATTATAAGAGGTACAGCCAAAGATTAATCATCAAAATTACTAATTGATGAATTTTTATCAGTGAAAAATGGAATATTTTAAAGCCATGTTTTCAAATAATCATAATGACTTAGGAAATTTTAATATTAAGCAAAGAGAAAGAGAGAGCTAGAGAGACAGTGACATTAAACTGTATTTACAGCTGGAGTTTAATTATGTAGAAAATAAATATAGAGACTCAGTTTTAAACCCAAATGCTGGCTGTTTATAATTGATGATTTCAATTATTTTCTATTTTTATTATTTTTAAATACAGTATTCTATAATGAACAAGCTTCACAATACAAGCAGAAAATAAATTTAAATGATTTCTCTGGAATTCAGAGTTAGTCTCAAACACTGAATGTATTCCAAGAGCTGAGATTCTTGATTCTGAGGCTACCACTGGAAGAACATTCTCCAGATGGCAAATCAAGTGACCGAGGTCACAAATGAATCAAATTCTGAAATAAGTTGTAACCAAGGATTTCATGCAATTATTTAAGACCCTTCACTTCTCTAACTAAGGGATTTTCCACTTCATGAAATTATTTAAGACCCTTCACTTCTCCAACTAAGGGATTTTCCACTTCATGAAATTATTTAAGACCCTTCACTTCTCCAACTAAGGGATTTTCAAATACAAACTTATTGAAGATACACCTGGACTGAAAGAAAAAAAAAATTATGAAAACTAAAAGATAGTAAATAGAACACCATAGGTAATATAAGGAGAAGACCAAAAAGAAAGAAAATCAGGAAATTTCCAACAAATTCATAACCGAATTTATAGTCAAACTCCTCTAATGAGGGACAAAAATGACAAGGAAGTATTATATTTGCCCAAAGAGAAAGAGAGAGAAAAATTTTACCTTGCATCCCATCTTGGTGTGAGGCACGCAGAGAGGTATCAGCAGCTGTTCTGCTCACCAGGCAGGGACTCGGCTCTCTAGTCTCTGAATGTGGATGTGCTGAAGGATTTATTGCCACTTGTTATCTGAGGATGCTGTGTGCATGCCTGCCCTTTGTCCACACAGATTTAATTGGAGCCTCCAACAAGTTTCACTCAGACCCTTGGCTCCCTGCGTCAGAGGCAGGTAGGCAGGGCCGGGGAGCACACAAAGGGGGAGCGATAGCTTTCTAACTACAGAGGCACCTGACTGCCCTGCTTTTCACTGGTGCTTGTCTGTCATCAAACTCTTTAACTCTTGCCTGGCTCCGAATATAGAGTGTAATACAGGATGGGATCAGGGTACATTTCATGTCATTTGCTATTTGTCAGAGGCTCTTCATACCCTAATTGCTTCCTGGGAAGAAAAAAATCTCAAAAAAAAAAGAAAGAAAGAAAGAAATCTCAGAACCTGTACAGAGCAAAAAATAAGATAAAATTAAGTGATCTCGGTGCTCTTGACCTATAAACAATCCACTCTCACAGTCCAACCTCTGTGGCTTGAGTGAAGGCACAGCCCTTACATCCCAATATCAATTCAGTATCTGGAACATAATGGTCTCCAATAAATCTTTCTTGTGCGGATCACTGAATGAATGACAGAGGACAGCTCATTTTGGATCCTTGAGAGATGCATCTTAGGGAGTTTCTTCACTGCAGAGGCAAAACACACTACACGCACAAGTGAAAGAAAGAAGGCTTTCTTCTGTCTCAGTTTGGAGAGGCTTCAGTCCATAGTAGGCAGACTCCAAGGCCAGGCAGCATGGCAGGGGAGAAGCAGTCTGCGGCAGAGCGGGCAGGAAGCAGCAAAGCCTGCCTTCCACATCTTTCCCTCTATAATCCATCCAGGCTACAAACCCATTGATTGGTGCCTCTCAAACCCAGGGTGGGGCCTCCATTCTCCACACCCAGAACTTTGCTAAATCAATTTAGTTTTCACATATCCTTAATCCATATTCACACACCTGAGAGCCAACCACCTCTGAAAAGACCCATCTAAGAGCACATGAGGCTTTCAAGGAACATCTAGATATAAGCCATGTCAATACGGGTATATGTTAGCCTAACACTAAAAGTCATTGGGATGTTTGGAAGGTGGTGGGGTGCCACAGGAAATCGCGGAGCACATCATGAATGAGTTACTAACCAGGAAAAACCCTTAAATATTGGCATTTAGAAAGGTAACAAATTAGGGGAAGCAGTACATTGCAGCATGTATATTAAGTTTACATTAGTTATTGCTTTTGCTTCTGTAGAGTCTGACCTTGTTTTATCAAGTTCTCTCCCTCTAAAGGTTCATATTTGGATCTTTTAACTTCGTGTGTCTGCTAGTTTATTAATTGGATTCAATTTTCCTGTATCTTCTCTCACTTTCCATGTACAGTCCCTAACCTTTCTTTCCTTCCCCTCACATAACCTCTTAAACCTCTCTTTCCTTCATCCTTTCTTAGAGTATAAATTTGTCATTAAAATCCACCATTTGCTTCTTTCTCCCCTTCCTCTTCATGTTTTCTTGTCTTTCCTCTTTTCTCTTGGTCTATCCTATATAATTACTACTCCTTTATTTCCTGTGCTACTAAAAGGATGAAAAATATTTAAAACTATTTTAAATTATACCTTGATATATGATTGATTCTTTGGATTTGAAGTTAAAGATAATGGTTCTTCTCTCACAATACAATGCTTCATATTGAGTATCTTATTTTATTTTTATCTTATTTTATTTTATCTTTCGGTACCAGGAATCAAACTCAGGACCTCATGCTTACCAAGCAGGCACTTTACCACTGAGCTATATCCCCAGCCATAGCACAGTATTTTAATGACTAGGTGTTTTCATACTGAGTCACACCCAAAGCCAAAGGCACACCAAAGAAATAAAATCATTTACTACAGAGAAGTCCACAATACTAGTAGAGACTTCCATCCCACCTGATCTACAAACTTCAATACAAATATAAGAATTATGAGAAAACAAGATGAACATAGGAGAGCATTCACTCAGTAAGAATGAAAAAAGACAACAATATAAATATTTCCAAAGAGCCCCTAGACAATTCTAAAAGAAATATAAGAATCATACTCTTTGAGGAAGATATTGAGAATTATGATAGAGCTGGGTGTGGTGGTGTACACTGTAATCCCAGCACTCAGGAGGCTGAGGCAGGAGGATTACTGAGTGTTCAAGCCCAGGCTCCACAGTGGATTAATTCAAGATCAGCCTGAAGTACATAGCAAAACCCTGTATCAAAACAAAACAAAAAAATTGCTATAGAAAATTTCCCCAAATCTGGGGGATGAGATGGATTTCAAGGTAAGAGGGGCATTTAGAATTCCAGATAGACAGGAAAGAACTTACCCACTACACATCATATTCAAAATTCCAGGAACTCAGAACAAAAAAGAATATTAAAAACTGTTAGAGAGAAGCACTACATTACCTACAAGGCCAAGCCCATTAGAATAACAGCAGATTCATCAGTGAGCAAAGAATCATCATGTTTTGGCATTAATGGGCACAACAGCAACGATAGTACTAGCTACTATTTATTTATAGAGTACATACTCTGGGTATATTGCTAATGTGAGATATATATATATAGTCATATTTGGCTTGTTTTAATTTCTTTCCTTGCTGGAATAAGATACCTGACACCTAAAATTAAAAGAGGAAAGTCCATACTCAGCTGATTCCAAGGAAGGGGCAGCCATTCATGGTAGCAGAAAACAGCATACAACAAAAGCAAAAAGAGGGCAGCATGCAGAAAAGGCTTTCTGTGCCCTACAGTGTGTGCAGGCCACACCCATTTGCGTGTAGCAATAGACCATGAATCACTCATAAACTCTAGAAGCCTGCCCACTGGCTGCATGAAGCTTTGGGGGAACATCCAGACACAAACTATAACAGTATAACTATAGTATGTGAGTGTTCATAAGCAGGGCAAGCCTGGATTGTCTTCACAAATGTCCATAACTCTGAATAATTTGGATATATATCTATTAAACATTAATGAATTCTGGTTAGTTGTTGAATGTAAAAAGAGAAACCATGAGCATGGTGAACTGGAATCCATGTATATTATTAGTAGGAGTACAAAATGTGTAATTCTTTTAAAAAGCAATTTTGCTTTCTATCTTTTACTCTATGTGTGTGTGCTACTAAAGATTAAACTCAGACTCTTTGCCCTAAGCTACATCCTCAGCACATTTGTAGTTTTTATTTTTTAACAGGCTCTTATTAAGTTGCTCAGATACTTCTGGTTCAGTCTTCTAGAGTACTGGGATTACAGGCATGCACCACCACACCTGGCTTCTCTTTTTATCTTTTAAACTGGGAAAAGTTCATACCTTTTGACTTAGTAGGACTTTAACTTCTTAAGGATCCCATCTAACATATAACTAAAAATGTTGGGGGATGGAGGCAGCAAACCTCAGTAGAAACTTACCATAGCATTTAGGGAAAACTACGAACATCTCAAATGTCCAGCTAAAGAAAATATTTAAATATGTGGACTCTAAAGGCTATCAAGCTACTGTTAAAATTGTGGGAAAAATTATTATAAATTATAAATTATTATAAAGACAATATATCAACCTGGGAAAAAATTAACATGTTCACATGAGTAATGATGAAGTGTAAATAAAAAACTATGTATATTGACAGTATAACGTCTGCCTTAGTTACTTTTCTTATTGCTGAGACAAAAATACTTGACACCCAAAATTTTAAAGGAGGAAAGGTTTACTTAGCTCAGTTTGTAGAGGTTCCAGCCCATAATCAGCTGGCTCCAAGGCAGGGGACTCATAGCAGAGGGGAGCTCAAAGCAGACAGCAAAAGGAACAATGGAGAGAAAGCAAGACAAGCCTCTTTCTGTTGCTTATATTCTATGCAGACAACCTGCCAAGCATTGGACCATGAATCAATCACAAACTCTAGATTCAACTGCCTCCAAAAAGCCCACCCACCATGAGTGCATGAGGCTTGGATAGGGCAGGGTGGTGGTGGGGAAGAGACATCCAGACACAAACCATAACAATAGTCCTATAATCCAAAGGTAGACACGACCTAGATTTCCCCCAACAGACAAATGGATAAATAAAATGTGCTAGACGCACATATTAGTCAACCTTAACCATAAAAGAAACTGAGACACTTGGCTGATACATGGATTAATCCTGAGGACATAATCCTAAGTGAAATATTCACCAACAGACATATCCTGTATAGTTCCCCTTATATGAGGTACTTAGAATGTCAAATGCTTTGAAACCGAAAGGGAAGTGGTAGCATTCAGGGTCGAGGGAAGAGGGAAATGGGGAACGGTTTTTCTAAAGAGTATAAAGTTTCAGTTTTATAAGATGAAAAACGTCTGGAGATTGGTTGCACAATAATGTCAATATACTTAACACTATTAAACTATCCACTCAGAAAATGGTTAAAATGGTAAATCTTACATCTATCTTACTAAAATTAAAACTTTTTAAAAATAGCATTTACATTGTGATTATATATCTACATTGTTTCAATAATACTGGAAAAATTAAAACTAAAATGTCACTGGTAATAAAAAGCAATAGCTCAGTCTATATGTAGACAGGCTGTTTGATTTTTAGCTGGAATAGCCAAAGATTGAAACCTAAGGCTCTTTACCAGAAGGGGTTCTGTTATCTTTGCAGTTAAAATGGTGGCACTGGGCATTCTCAGATAGACAGCTTTTCCTCCAGGTCAAATGGCATATAACCCAATTACAATTACCTCGGGTCAAGGAGGACATGATGTGACTGTGATTCAGATCTGCAGGGTGCTTTTGTTTCTCATGACTTCCTGCTCCCCCTGTTCAAATATTTAACAATTAGTTCTAACTTCCTCTTATACTTAGCAGATGGCAGTGTTCTAGCCTCAGACTAGAGAGGTTTGAGAGCAAAGCCTTCCACTTTGGTTTAAAAGTCACAGCTTGCGAAAAGATGGTGAGAGTATTACAGTTCACTCCCGCTGTCTATTTTTGGCATTTGGGTCCCTGTAGGAGTCGAGATGTGTGTCCCAAAGGTAAGGGATTGCTATGCCTAAGAGAAAGGAAGTGTTGGCTTCAGAGCACTTTTAAAAACAAAACAAAACAAAAAAAAATCAACATAAGATGGAACCTCACAGACCCTATTGTAGGAACACAGGTAGCAAACTCAAGAATATTTAAGAAGGCTGAGGATAAAGAAATTTTACACCCCACCCCCAGGCAGCATCCTTCACACCAATCTCCACAAGAAGAGAACCCTCCCTGTGAAGATGGCACTTCTGGAAAAGTTTAAATCCATCACCTCATAGTACACGAGAGAGAAACAGGATGGGGCCAGGACCCTAATATCCCTTTGAGAGCATGCCTCCAATGACCTAATTCCTTCCTCTAAGCCCCATTTCTTAGAGGATCCACTGCCTCCTAAAAGTACTACAGGTTGGCGACCAAGCCTTTTACTCGTGGATCTTTGGGAAATACTTGCTAACCATTTGTGACCACTGTTCTTAAAAAATGACACTGAAGAGTCGTTCTTACCTCTGTGGGCTTCATATAAGACTGGACATGGTACTAGAATCCCGGAAATACATGTTCCCACTCCCAGAGCCTCACTGTCTTGGAATGAGGATAAAGAAATTCCATTTTCTTTTTGGAATTCAGCCCCCAAGCCTGCCTATTCTTGACAGTGTGGGAAGGATTCCATAGCAGAACTGAATGTATTGAAACACACCCTAATCCTTGGGTTCTTAGCCTTAAATACAATGGCTCCTCATTAACTTTAATCACATGCCAGATGTAGAAAATCTTCCATTCTAAGACCATTGTATCGGATCACAGAACCATAAAAATAACAGTGACTTCATTAGTGCAGGATAAGTAATGCCTCTTGGGGACAAAAGCCATGTTTTCTCTAAACAGTCTTCTGTACACACCAGGAAACCAAAAATGTTATCACAGTTTGGGGCCTCGGTTTGCCATTCACCAGCTGTGAGACTGAACAAACTACTTGATTTCTGTGTGCCTCGAATTATTATCTTATATAGTTCTCATGAAGATTTAACAAGCAAATTAACAATAAGCACTGAGTGCCTGGCGTGAAGGAGACACACAATATTGTATCTGAACAATTTATATATCAGAAAAGTGGTAAGACATCAACTCTGGTCTAATGAACTCATCTGTGTGTTGAGGGAATTCCCCAACACTAGGATCCCTAAAATAAA